AGGCCCAGTGTGTCTACCTATGCTTCCATCTTGTCCAGAAGACTCACCTTCAATTTTAAATGACAAACTTGCTGAATAGAGTAGTCTTTGTTACAGGTCCTTGCTTTTCATCCCTTTGAATATTTCATGCCAATCCCATCTGGCCTGGTATTTCTGTTGAGAAATCAGCTGACAGTTTTATGGGAGCTTCCTTGTAGGTAACTAATGGTCTCTCTCTTTCTGCCTTGAATCTCCCTTTGTTTTTAGCCTTTTTAATTTTAATTATGATGTGTTTTGGTGTGGATCTCTTTGAGTTCATGTTGATTGGGATTTTCTGTGCTTCCTGAACTTGTGTGCCTTTTTTCTTCACCAAGTTAAGAAAATTTTTAGCCATTATTTCTTCAAACAGGTTTTGTATCTCTTTCTCACTCTCTTCTCCTTCTGGTACCCCTGATTCAGATATTATGCTTGATATTGTCCCAGATGTTCCTTAGATTTTCCTCATTCTTTTTTAATTCTTGAATCTTTTTGATGATCTTTTTGTGTGTTTGTTATATTGTCCTCTAAATCACTGATTCAATAACCATGTTTCATCTAACCTGCTCTTGATTCCTTCCAATGTATTCTTCACTTAGATACTGTATTCTTCATCTCTGACTGGTTCTTTTTTATGGTTTATGTGTCCTTATTAATGCTTACTATCTCTTTGTTTGAGTTCTTACTGAGATCATCCATTCTTCCCCTAAGGTCATTGAGCAAGTTTATAACCATTATTTGAAACTCAGCATCTGGTATCGTGGTTGCTTCCATTTCAGTTAATTCTTTTTCTGTTCTTCTTTCATCTGGGACATATTTCTTTGCCTCCCTATTTTGTCTCTGTGCATTAGGTAATGTACTATGATTCCCAAACTTGTTATAATGGCTTTATGATGAAGGTGTATGGTTGAGCTCTGTGGCACAATCTTCCAGATCACTTGAGGTCCTTGCTCCAGGAATGTTTTTTGTGGATTATGTTCACCCTCATGTTTTAATTGAGTTTTGAGTTTTTTCAGCCCTTTCTCAGGTGGAGTTAACCCTTCAGGTTGGCTGACTATTAGGGTAAACCCAAATTTTGTATGAGATTTTCTTCAGATACAGCCCTCTGAGGGGAAGTTGTTCCTAGAAAGTTCTGGTGCCTACCAGAATCCTCCCTTGGGTGTGCCTCTTGTGTGGCTAGTTGGGTCAAGCTCTGGTGTGGTCTAAAATTCACCACTGGTTGTTTTGGTTCTGGGTCCAGTCAGGTGGCATTCAGGTGAAGGCTGATGTTGGATGTGTGTAACTGGCCTGAGATACCTCTCTGGAGCTACTGCACTGCTCATTCTTTGTGGCTGCATCTACTGGACCTAGGTGTGTGTGAAGGGGCCAATCTGTGTATATGGCTCAACTCCCTCCCAATTAGAACTGGTGGCATGTCAGTCTCTATGTGGCTTCTTCTGTAAACCCATGGTTGTAATATTTTAGTTTCAGCCAGGCTTCAGTTGGTTATTCAGGTTGACTCTTCTATAATTTAGCTGTAACTCTGGTTTGGGTCTGGGATCAGGTGAGTGTAGTTTTCATCTACTCTGAAGTCATGTTGGTATCTCACCTGGTATATTTATATTCATTAAAACAATAAAAATATATGAAGGAATTATTTATAAAAAATAAATGCTACTGTTAGAGGGAATAAGTGCCCATGACAGAGTTTCAAGAAATTCCAGTTTTGAGGAAGGATAAAGGAAAATGTACTGGCAAGAATGACAGAGGAACTGGCAGAGATGTAGAAGAAAAACCAGAAGGGTGAGATAACAGGGAAGTTCAAAGAAGAGTTTCCAACAGGAAGGAATGATTAACTCTTTTAGGTGCTACCAAGAGGTATACAAAATTGAGGGAGAACTGTATCTATTGGGTTGTGTAACATGGAGGTCATTGATAATCACAGCAAGTACATTTTGGGTGGATGGAGGAGACAGAAACTAGATTGCAGTGATTAAAGAAATGAAGTCAGTGAGGTACACACTCTTTTGAGTTAGTTGTGAAAATGGAGGTGAATTAGGGCAGCAGTTTAATTGAGAGAAAGATTCGATTTTCTCTTTTTTTTTGTAGAGGGTACTCGAAAATGATTAAATGTTGATAAGAAAATTGCAGTAAAGCCTATTGTATAAGGTTTTTGAGAAGGCCTGACTAAGGTCCAGAAATTAAAAGAATGGAGTAGAGACATTACTCAATTATGTATGTTGAAAAGGTGGAGAAGGCAGTCCAGATGCAGGTTGGTTTCTGCCTTCTGCCAGAGTGAGACCTCTGGCTGCGGTATTTATTTTACCTCTTGAGGGCAAAGCTACCTGCAAAGAGTTAGGGGAGCATTGAAAGGGAGGTACAAAAAGAACAAGGGAGTTGTTAATTTTCTGGTGAAGACAATTAGAGCAATTGGGTCAGATAAACAGTAAGGTAGAGAGGCAGCTTGGACACAGTAGTTAAATTTAGTTATCATGGATGTAGGGAACCCAGTGTCCTATGCTATGTGTGTCATTCACACCAACAGTGCTTGGTTGCTCAGGGGCAGACATGACACAGAGAAAGTAAATGGTTGAGCTCATGCATAGTTGAAATTTTACTGAAAAACTACCACTTAAAGAGAGACAATAAAGAGTTTAGGATTTTGTTTAAAAAGTCATTGATATTAGTGATGGTTTCATGGGTATATATTTATTCCCACTCTCATTGAGTTGTACACATTAAATATATACAGTGTTTCACATGTCAATCATACTTCAATAAATGGACTTTAAAAGCTTGAACACATATTTTGTCTACCATGGAATCTGAACTGGATAAAAAAGGAAGCCAATCTATCTATTGGGAATAACTAAATGCTTCAATGACTTAGACTTGCCAATAGAGTTGAGGGAGAGAAGGGATATAAATAATTCAACAACAAAGTTGGAAGAAAAATTGGTGGTAAAGGAACAGACTTTGTTAATATGGTAGTAAAATGAAACTCTTCATATTCCTGAGGAACTATAATATCAAGCACATAACATAAGTATTCTCATATTGCACTTAAACAGGACTTTCAAAGAAGATGACCAAAAATCAGTTCTAGACTCTTAAACTTAGTGTTCAAAATGAGAAAAGGCTGAGTGATAGTCTACCTCCTTTGGAGCAAGTTGGAATATTTTCTCAAACCTCTTATAACGTGTACCACCAAGGCGGAGAGAAGGGAAGAGCCTCCTACTTATTTTAGGATGGTAGTTAGAGAAACCACCACTTGGAGAACTCGAGAATCTGTTGCCTAGACTTAGAAGAGATTGATGGACTAGGTTTAAAAACACTCTTGAAAACTTTGAAAGCGAAAGACAATGAATGGCTGAAGTTCCTTGCCTAATGGAGTTTCAGCTGCACTTTTGTTGCCAACAGGGCAAAGGTGTCCATTTCTCATGAACCAAATGTCAGGAACATGTGGGAATAGTGGTGTTTGAGGTCATTTGAAAAACAACTTTCCCCAAGCAAGCTTCTTGACTGGACAAGTTGACCTCAGCATGAAAAGATGTGGGTGGACCATCACATGCAGAAATCACAGGTGTGTCATCAGCAACCAAGTGGAAGAGTTGCATTACAAAGGAGGAGCATTGACTCTAATGCTGATAGAAATCTGTTAAGAATCCATAAAAGAAATCATCAGATGTAGGAGTCATTTTGACTATCTATCAAGACTAAAAGGTACCACTCATCTCCTGATCCTGTCCATCCTCTGCCCTTCCAAATATGAAGAATTTAGAAGCTGACACTAGCAACTTGGGGAAGGAACTGAGCCAGAAGAGAGAAATAAAGCCAAACCCATAAAACGCTTTCCAACTACCAGCTTTTAAGCAGACATAGCTAGGGAAGAAGGTTTAACTTTAAAGTTGGGACTTTTACTATTAAATAAGAGACTTCTCATTTCAACTACTCAAATGAGGTTTGTTTTATTACTAAATGTTATTGAAAGACTTTATTAAACAAAGTGACCAGAACAATTATAGATTCTGCCCTAGATTTCACCCCAGAGATAGCAAAAATCAGGCCAATGGAGTGTGTTTACATAAGCTATGGGTGAGAAAAGGAGTGAAGTTGCTTTTGTCTTTCACCTTACAAAGTCCTAATCTTAAACCAAACATGTTATATATAGTGATTTCCACGTTATATATAGCACATTTGAGAATGTGCTGCTATCCAGAATGGACCATAGGAAACAGTGACTGAGGTAGAGCAGAGCTGACGTCTCTGGAAATGAGGTAGAAAAATCTGTAAGGCCAGGATATTTGAAGAATTACCCATGAACAAGTTATAATTATCCAGCCACCAAGGTAGGGAAACACTCCAAAGAGCGTCTGAGGAACTTACTGCCATGTACTACCAATTCAGCAGAAAAACAGTAGAAAGATTTGGGAGTGATGGTGAAAAGGTAAGAAAGGAGGAAAGAATTGGTTGGGGAATAAGAAAGAAGTATGAGCAAATGAATGAAACTGTAAAATATTCCAATGGTTTCAGGTTAAATCTTTTTATTGTTACATTTCTATTGATGGAAAGATAAATGCTGAACCATCAGGCTGTCATAGCAAAATACTATAGATGGGTGGCTTAAACAGCATATATTTATTTCTCATAGTGCTGGAAATAGATATCTAAGTTCAGGGTGCAGCAGGATACTTGTCTGGTGATGGCTCTCTCCTTAGGTTGCAGATCACCACCTTCTCTGTGTTCTCACAAGGCAGAGAAATCAAGTTCTGTTATCTCCTCTCATAAGAGCACTAATCCTATCAAACCAGGGCCCCACCATTATGATCTTATCTAACCCTTCTTAACTCCCAAAGGCCAAATTTCCAAACACCATCACATTGTGAGGTAAGGTTTCAACATTTAAAATTTTGGGGCACACAAACATTCAGTTCATAATAAAGTTATTACTGCTTTTCATGACTACAAGTAGAACCATTCTCATAATACATTTCCTTATTTGACAGAATTCAGTTACAAGCACCAAATATCGAACAAAGGAGAACCACATGATGTGTAAACTTATGTGTTTGTGCATTACTTACTCTTCTGCCATTGGTGGACTGACAACAATCACTGGTACCTCAACCAACTTGATCTTCGCCCAGTATTTCAATTCGTAAGTAATATTATTGGACTGGTGATTTAATAAATGGATAGCACACAACTAACCTAATTTAGAGACTCCAAGAACAGAGATGCTATATTGGATTAATTCTCCTCTTTTTCCCATCAGGACATTCGTAGGTCTAGAGGCCTTCCTTTCTATTGAGAGTTAAATATGGAAGACATAATCAATTAACATCTACAGATTCCCCAAGTCCATTCAGAAGAGATAACTTCTGGCTGACCATTCTGATCAAATAGGAAAGGTACTTTAAACTACGAATAGTACTACAAATTGTAGTTAGAGGAAACCACAAAGGGTTATTTGCCTGGGACAGTTCGCACTGGACTTGAACTTAAATGATGAATGCCAAACAGAGGTACTAATTACAGAAGGCATGACTTTGAATTTTAAAAAATTTGAAGAATTAAGCAATTACAAGAAATGACAGTAATAAAAGTTTTCTAAGAAACAGATATATTACCCTAATATAAGTCTGGAACTGTGTTATCACTCTATCTCAGGAAATGGGGAATCTGTGGATATATCAGAGCACTTGGAGTAGAAATCCCACAATATTCAGTTACTTACTTTGTGAATTTGAACCATAAAAAAGTACATTACTCTCCAAGACTTAATTTTTTTAAATGTATTTAGTTATTTTTCAAGTACAGTTTTTTTGTGTCAATTTCCCCCATCCCAGCCCCCCCCCTCCGCCCCGGCTCCCCACCTCCCTCCCTCCCATTTCCCCCCCCCCCACAGTCCTCATCCCTGTGTTTTTCATACTTGTTCTTCAAAATCCCTCCCCGTTTTTCCCCTTAAATTCCCTTCCCTCTCCCCTCTGGTCGCTGCCCACTTGTTCTCTATTTCAGTGTCTTTGTTTTTATTCTATTTGCTTGTTTATTTTGTTATTTAGCTTCCTGTTAAAGGTGAGATCATATGGTATTTGTCCTTCAATGCCTGGCCTATTTTACTCAGCATAATGCTTTCCAGTTCCATCCATGTTGTTGCAAAAGGTAGTAGCTCCTTTATTCTCTCTGCTGCATAGAATTCCATTGTGTATATGTACTATAATTTCTTGATCCATTCATTTACTGACAGGCACCTAGGTTGCTTCCAACTCTTGGCTATTGTAAATTGTGCTGCTATGAACATTGTGGTGCATAGGTTCTTTGAAATTGATGTTTTGGGATTCTTGGGATATAATCCTAGCAGTGGAATTGCTGGGTCAAAAGGCAGGTCGATTTTTATTTTTCTGAGAAAATTCCATACTGTTTTCCATAATGGTTGTACCAGTCTGCAATCCCACCAACAATGAACTAAGGACCCCTTTTCCCCACAACCTCTCCAACATTTGTTGTTTGTTGCTTTGTTTATGATAGCCATCCTGACTGGTGTAAAGTGGTATCTCTTTGTGGTTTTAATTTTCATCTCTCTGATAGCTAATGATATCAAGACTTAATTTTTAAAACATCTAAAATAGGCAAAGTTCATATGATTATTGTGAAAATTAAATGGGGTAACTATGTAAAATACTTGGCACTATGTAAAAACTATTGAAACAGTACTTTGAAAGTCCATGCTTTTATGTGAGAGCTCAAACTGTTTCTACACCCCAAGCATATTTTCAGGTACTAACAGGACATTATTGTTGGAGTTCCAGGAAAGTCGGCAACACTGGAATTCCTGAAGCAGAATTTAGGTCCTTATCACAGAAAAATTAAGGTTCCAGGCAAGAAACCTACACAACAACAGGTGGATTCATAAACTATGAACTTACTAAAATTATTTCAAAATGTTGTTCATGCATAGCTTTTCCAGGAAATCCAAGATTCAAAAGATAGCACACTTTGTTCCAGGAAGAATGAGCACTTGCAAACAAAGAAAGCTTCTATAGCAGTTTAGGGACCACACAACACAGACTTTCATGTGTACTTATTGTTTCTGTGAGTACACAGTCATGTATACTCAACAGATGATTTAGAAAGAAATCTTTGAAAGACACTTGGTTTAAAAGTGGGAGAATCTGAAACTCACAGTGCTAGAGATGATTTTTCTCCTAATTCAAGATAGGAAATGTACTTGATCCCTTTCTGAAAGTAGGTTTCTGTCCTTTGTCATTAGTTCCCTTAAGAAAGAGATTCTACATCTTAGTCATCTCTATAAATCTCTTTTTTTCTGAATTTAGACCAAATTTTTATTGTTTTGTGCATGATGATGTTAGATAACTGCTGGTTTCCTCTATTCCCATGTAATTAATTGATTTCGTCAATGGAATACATATTGAGTTTGCCTTTGGTTTTTGTTTTCTTGCATTATGTCCCGACCAAATTTTTTTCTTTTATTTAACTGTTCCCTTCACTCTTTGAATGTATTAATCCATTTGCAATGATACATTGAGACTACTGAACAGCACTTTCAGCAAAATGTTTCAATGACTGTTTCTGCTAATTGTCTAATCTTCTAATTCTTGAAGTCATGGGCATTTAGCCAAACTATTCTTTAAATTTAGAAAATACTTAAATGTACTTCAAATTTAGACATATTTCCTTCAAAGTTTGTTTTAACATTAGAAATTATATTCAAACTAGAAAAAAAACAAAATGTATCTCCTCTTGATGGAAGATATTAGGCTAGAAGAGGGAAAAATAACCTTATGTGGCAAAATAAGGTTATTTTACAAACTATTAAACAGTTATTAAAACAAACTATTTTTTTCTTAAATTTAACCACTTATTTTTTTTCTAATTTTGTTCCTAAAATTTTTAACAGTACCCCAAAGCAATAATGAAATAAGTGGTTTAATTTTATTGAGAAAAGTTTCACAAACTTAAAACTGCAGGAAAAATAAAAATTTTTTTGGTACAGATGTTTGGAGCTGGATAGAAATTACCCTTTTCCCCCAAATCCAGTACAATAATCTCACCCTTTTCTCTTGACATTTTTTGAGCAGTATCAATGATTATTTTGTACAAATTCATTTTGGGTCCTGTCCAGCTTAAAAAGGTACATGAGCCTGAGAATCAATTATTTTCTATCATTGACGTTTACAAGACACCATCTTACAAATAAACTGTGGGAGGAAAAGATAGGATAGCAAATTTCAAAGCCTTATCTATCTTTCTATCCTATATCTATTTATCTATCATTTATATATCTATTATATATACTATACATAATGTTTCTCTTCTATTTTTTACACAAAGAAATAAGAACTATGAGTTCTGAGAAAGCTAAATTTATTCAGTTCAAATAAAAACAGACATTTATTCACTCAGTCAATCAACAAACATTTGTTGAGGATTCACAATGTGTAAGGCTGTTTGGAATTATTTTGGAGAATGAAAAAAATAAAAACCTACCAGAAGGAAGAGTCTATCTAATTGTCTAGACAAAATATACATATGTGAAAACCATTAAAATCTTTAAAACATGATTACATTTATTTTTTAAGATCATTAGTTTATAATATATCTAATAACATTTATTTTTTGACATACATGGGGGAAGGTAAAGTGACATGCATTGAGCTCTTGCCAGATAATTTACATCCCTGTAGTGCATACATGTCCTACATATCCTTGCTGTGGAAATGGTGTATAATGATAATTAAAAGCATAGGCTCTGGGTTTAAAATGTCTATGTTCAAATCCCAGTTTTTAGTTTACAAAGTAGGTGACCTTGGACAAATCTCTTTAAGCTTGTTACCTTGCCAGAAAAATAAGGATAATAATATCCCTCTCTTAGCAGGTGATTTTTGTATTTTATATAAAATATTGGGTTGGCCAAAAAGTTCATTTAGGTATTTTTGTACCATGGCTCTAGTAGTGCTTAGTTGTCTTTAACTTCATTTGAAACAATTTTGTTAGATTGCATAGTGACATTGTTATATCAGTGTACATTAAAAAAAATAATCAAAATTGGTGATTTTTGTGTAGCCATTTTAATATTGAAGGTGGAAGAAAATAAGCAACATTTTCAGTGTATTATGCTTTATTACTTCAAGAAAGGTAAAAATACAAAAAACAGTTTGTGAAGTGCACAGAGAAGGTGCTGTGACTGTCGAAAGTGGTTTGCGAAGTTTCTTGGTACTATGGACATTTTGGCCAAATAATTCTTTGCTGGGGAGCTGTCTTATGCATTGGAAGATATTTAGCAGTACCCCTGGCCTTAACCCCCTGAAGCCAATAGCGGGAGACAGCCGACATACTCAAAATGTGTGAAACAATAGTTATTGGTGAAAATGCAAAATATGTCTTTTATTTTACAGAAAAAACTAAAGGGACTTACATGTTAGCCAACCCAATAAGTAGCACTTAGAACAGTACCTAGCACAGAGCATGTGCTCAATAAATGCTGGTTATTTTAATTAGAGGTGAGGCAGATGAGGTTCAGCTTAGCAGAGAGAGTACCAAATAAAGATCAGTCAGACCCTCATAGTTTGTCTCCTTAAAACCTAGCTCTGTAGAAGCGTAACTGAACATGTGTCTTAAAAGGGGACTATAACTGTAAGGTGCTATGTGATATGGCAACAATCCTTGATCTCTAGAGAAAACTTGTCCTTATAACATGATCCAAACTTAAAAGAGGTAAGCACCATGTTTATGAAGAAATGAATGCAAATAATTCATAAAATCAAAGCACAAAAAGTCTATAATAGTTTTTCTAGGGAGGCGGTAGAACAGTCTCTGCATCTTTTCGCACAGGTCAGAACGGCAGTGTGGAGATTGAGTCTAGAGCCAGGAGACCAGTCAGGAGTCTGTTACCAAGTGCCGACAAATGACCGTGGGGCAGAACAAGGCTAGTTGTAAATAATAGGAGGGTTTAGACACAGGAAACTGTAAAGTCAGAGGTGGTGAGTAATTAGGTAAATTTCAGGGAATTTTTTTGCCAATATGGCTGTATAGATAGTGATGCCATGAACTTCTAGAAAAGACAGGACAGGTTTATAGGAGAAATTAATAAATTTGATTTTGGGTGTATTGAAATTGTCTGTTATTTGCCTATCCACA